GGCCTGCGGCGGGGGGCCGCATGCGGTAGGGACGCTGCGGCATGGCTCCCCTTCTCCCTGCCATGGGGGCGAGGGGACAAGGCAGCTCCGTCCCCAGGAACGGGGCCAGCTCCCGCCCGCAGCAGCCATATGGGGAACCCTGCTCTGACCTGCCGCGGAGGTGACATGGCTCTCCCCTGGGGAGACAGAGGCAGACTGCGACTTTGCTGCGCGGCACGCAGTACCCTCGGTCTCCGGAGAGACCATATGCTCTCTCCTTTCCCCTTTGTCGCTGAGCTGCTGCCAGCAGAGAGCCCAAGCTGGGCCGGGGGACAAAGGGAGGACCTGGCCGGGAAGGGGCAGGTTTGTGGCCCCCAGCACTGCCCTGTCTCTGGCCCGAGAGGAGGAGACTGCGGTGAGATTTGCCTGCATTCTCTCCCAGAGTTCCCCCAGATCTTCCTCCCGCTCTGCAGATCTCATTTGAAATGTTATTACATTATCCATTACCTAGGAGATTTCCAGCGGCTCACTAGCTCCACGCAGGCAAGAGACAGGCAAAGCTGCTCCAGCCGGGGAGGGCACCACGGCTGCATCTAATTGATGCCACCCAGATAAAGCCCCCAAACCAGTTGCGTGTGACAGGGAGCTGCCAGGGCTTCAACGGGAGCAGAGGAGGCCCAGCACACACAGTACAGGGTGACACTGGGACTGAGCTCCAAGGATGGCTGGGAGCAGGACCACGGTCACAGGGGCTCGGGGAAGGGACGCAAGCTCTGGCTCTGCCAGACGGGAGAGGACGCCTGGCTTTCACCCGGCATGTGGCTGCGGACAGCCTCTGCGAAAGCAGCTCCTCCTGGATGGGAAACATCTCCAGAGAGGCTGCATCACAGAGCAGCTGCCTCCAGCCCACGGCTGAGACCCCACCGCACAGATGAGGTGTGGGGACGAGGCTCTGCTCCCCACCACCACCGACTGCTCTGCTCCCCGGGCGCAGGGACGCGGGTGCTGATGACGCTGGGCTTTCGGCACGGCACAGGGCCTGCCCAGAAAGGGTCACGGGGAAAAAAACAAGGTGACCCTGAAGTCGCCTTCTGGGGGGGGGGCTTTTTTGGGGTGTGGGAGGGCAGGGAGGCTGGAGATATGGAAGGTACAAATGCAGCATCACAGCTGTGGGATCCATGAGGACAGGAGCAATCAAATGTGAGAGGGGTTTTATTCCAAGGTGGCTGCACAAGACAGCTGGTGGGGCTGAGGGTCGTCCTCGAGGTGGCTCTGAGACCACTGGGAGAGGGAGCGGACAAACCCAAATGGAAGAAGAGATCCAAACTGGGCAGCCTTAACCCAGCCACTTCGCTGTGCAACCAGCCAGTGTGAGAAGCAATCACACTACCTGCTTCTACCTGCAGCCAGCAAAAAAGCCCCTCTTGGCACACCAGCCCACCGGGAGCAGTGACAGCGGACAGGAGCAAAGCACGCACTGCTGGAGAGCCCTGACCCGGCTTGTGTGGAGAGAAATGTCCAAGAGGACTCATGTGTGCACGTGGTGGTGCCCGCTGAACGCAGGGTTTGGCGCATGTGGGCAGTGGCTCCTTCTTGGGTGCCTTGGTGGAAAAAATGCCTTCGCTCAGCATCCCCACGCCACCGGGGAGGGTGGCCGGGCTCTCCAAGGAGCTGCCCTTCCTCCCTCCGCCCCTCGCCACCCGAATCGTCCCGCCGGGGCACGCACGGCCGGCAAAACCGGGGTTGGCCAGAACTGGGCACGGACAGCCCGCACCTGACCCCAGGCAGCGACTGGGGGGAAGCCAAGGGCGATCCCACAGGGAACACCCTGTCCCAGCAGCGCAGCCATGAGCAGGGGCAGCCCGGAGGCTCCGAGGCTGCTTGTCCCCCACCATGCGCTCCCCACGAGCACCTCTGCCCCTCAAAAAGCCTAGCTTTCTGGGTGCTTGTGCGGAAACCCAGATCTCGGCTCTCTGCCGTGGCTTTCCACCACAGTAATTTCTGCGCACAATAAAACGCCCACACCCGCCCACGCAAATCAAACAAGCAAACACAAACCTATGAAGGAATCTAGCTCGTCTCCTCCGAGCCAGGCAAAAAGAGAGGCTTGTTGTCATTATCTCTATTTAAGTGCTCGGGAAGTGCTCAGATCCATGGGCCCCTGTTGCGCCTGTAAGTAGATCAGAGAGGTGGAGACCGCAGAGGAAGATGCTCCCACCTACCCCATCGCCCATTCCTACTCCACGGACACTTTTTTGGAGCTCCATACAAGGAAGCCTTAAGCTCGCCTGAGTGAAAATGTGCCATAGCAACAGCCTGAATCCAAAAAAGTGTCATAAGGAAGATTTTGAGCAGCATTAGAGCTGGGCGCGCTCTGAGCCCAGGGACCAAACAGGAGAGATTTTTAATCTTGCCTTGGCAGGCAGAAGCCAAAAACCTGGTAATTTTTTAAAAAGATGAAGCTGTGTGGTGAATGTAGGGGAACGCTTCTCTTTTGCAGGAACCCATCAACAATGTGTCCGAAGTCCATCGAGCTTTAAAATGGCTCTGAACCATCCTGCTTTGGCCCGTGACCCAGCCTACCTGCTTCCAGTCCCCCGAGGCTGGAAGAGATTTAAAGAATCACTTTAAAATGAAAAGTCGGCTGCCAAGAGGAGCCCCAAGAGGGATGTATGAACCAAATACCAGGAGACGCCTCGCAAGGATAAGGAAAGTCCGACATCTGCCCCAAGAGGGCAGCCACTGGCAGAAACCGGGGCCAGGGCAGGCAGAGCCGCGCCACAGGCAACTGCGTGGGAAGGAGCTGCCCGGACAACCACCCCCTCCATCCCGCACCGAGGCGCAGGGGCTCTTCCGCAGCGATGGCACAGTCTCAAGTCGAGGAAAGGTCAGAAAAGCACGTCCTGTCCCAGCTCCTCCGAGCACCTGCAAAGCCCCCGTGCCTCTGGGTGGCAAAGGATGGGGCAGACAAAGCCTGATGCGTTTGTTTTTTGGCAAGGACGCAGCTCCCCTGGCACAAAGGGTACTTCCCTGGGTAGGGAGAGGCATCGTGATTGCAATATGATGCAGAGGGATGGAACATCCGTCTGGACGCCCCCGAATCCTTCCAAGAAACAGCCTGCATTTGTTTTAGAGACCCACTGGGAGAGATGCATCTCCTGGTCCCCCTGCTGTCCCTGTGGCAGCCGTTTGCTCCCTCACCCCTCTGGTCCGGGTTGCTGCTGCCAATTACACTCTTTTGGCATGATTAGGAGCTGTGTAGGCTGGAGCCGGTGAACAAACCCAAGTGTGCTCATTTCAGCCGCCCTGGAAGTAGAGGAGAACGGGAGGTGGGGGAGCGCGGACTTCCCAAATGGAAAAATACAGAATCAGCCGTGGGGAGAGCAGCACTCAGGAAAGACAGGAGAGTTCAAACTTCTGGGTCCAACTAATGCCAGCCATGGGCACGCTCCTCTTGAGTCCCTCACCAGGAGGGAACAGAAGTGGCGAAGGAAAAACAACGTGATTGCTCGTGGCCACGAGCAGAGAATGAAAGTTCCTGCCTGAGCCAAGGAGGGAGGTGAGACTTCCCTGCCCACACAGGCAGCCAGGGAGAGGGTCTGGCCGCTCAGCCTGTGCCCCAGCCCCAGCTCCCTTCCACCCAGAGCAGGTCAAGTCTCACATGGGCTGTGCCTGCTCCAGTTCCCGAGTGCCAGAGGAGCCGTTCCAGCAGCTCCCGCTTGCAAACAAAAGGCAGGAGACACTCCAAGCCAGAGGGAGCAACCGGGGAAAGAGCGTCCATCCCCAGCCAGGCTCAGAAACCCGTGTGCGAGTTTGCCGTCAGTGGAAGCGGAGAGAAAAAGCGCAGAAAGTGCCATGCGGTGCCAGGGAACCCCGCCGGGGCCGGAGCAACAGGACACTGCAGTCGCAATGGGAACGTGGCCAGGCTGGGACCGTCGGACCCCACCAGCCACACACCCAGCACCGGAGAAAAAGGCACAACTGCATTCTGCTCCTTGAGTACGAACGACAAGGAGCCTTCCCGCTCCAAACACAGCTTCCCGGGAAAGCTGGGCACCCCAAGGGAAAGGGAAATGCTGAAAGACTCACCATTAACACCACTTTACCTGTTTGCCTTTTACGATGTGCTTGGGCACGGGCACTTTAATCTCCAGGTCGCTGTAGTCTTGGGACCAGGCGTAGTTCTCTCGCACAGCTCCGTTGTAGCTGTCGGGGTTTGTCTGGAACTGCTCCTGTCTCCTGGGGGGGAAGAAAGGGGCGACATGCTAAGTGTCGGACAGATCAGAGCCTGGAGACAAGAGGAAACCTGAGAGCAGGGTAGAAGAAGCAGAAAGGGAGGGCAGCGCCTCTTCATGGCCATCTTGCGAGCATCCCTAATGCTTCAGGCTGATGCCCAGTCTCTCCCTCACTGCTGGCCCTATCTAGGAAGGGAGAAGGTTCAGGGTGGCGGCCCCAGGACACAGAGAGATGCCAGCCACCCTGCCCGTTGCAGGAGACTTGCACACCCCTCTCCCCCGTGTGCTGCAACAGAAGTCAGGCTGCTAAGGGGACAACTGGTGAGACACACGATAATTTGGCTGCCCAAAAGGTGCAGAGCTGGGCCCTGGCCGGCTCGAGGCATCTTCCTGGCTAACTCTGCTCGAGCGCAGAGCTCCTCTTCCCCTCCACCTCCCTGCTGTATCCACTGCGCCCATTGCCGCTGGAGCAGGGGACACCGTCATGTGCCGGAGGGTGTGTGCTGTCTCCTGAGCCACTGCTGCGGCTGCAGAGGTGGTGGCCCATCACTGTGACCTGGGTTCACTGTGAAAAAACAGAGCTGGTTGTCCTCCTCCCAATTTTAGCATGTTTGGGAAAACCACCAGCTGTTGTGACCCAGGCAGCTGCTGACACAGAGGCGATGGAGCCTCTGTGCTGTGGAGCTGTGGAGCAGGACGCCTGAAGAGCTAGCCCGGCGTGGCACTGGAAGGGGGCAACTGGACAAGTGGATCACGAGCAACACTTTGAGCAAAACACGGCCACTTCCAGCTGTGGAAATCTCAGGAGAAGGATGAGGAGGCGGTTGTGAGGGTAGGATGGGATTTATCAGATCGATAAGCAATCATCAATACAGTGTTTCCAGCCAAGAAAGGAGATCTCCATTGCACCCATGTCCCTTTAAACTGCTGGCAGGCTGAGGATCTATTCCATCGAAACCTCCCGGAGAGGGCTTTCAAATAAAATAAAATCTTTTCTAAAGATAGCTGCGGTGCTAACAAAAGGCAGAGTTATTTTAAAATGTTTTGATACGCACCTAGTCCTCAATCTGGAGCTGTATAAACACGGGGCTGCAGTGAGTTATATAAGGGGGGGGCCGGTGACGAGTGGCCCCAGGGGGCAGCCAGCCCCCAGGGACCGCGTCTCCCTGCGCCCCGCTGTCTTCCCGACACCCCCACACCGAGGGGCCCTCGCCAGCACCGGGCGGGGGTGGCTTCCAGCAGCGCAGCGCCGCGCCCTGAGGATTATGTAAGATCCATCAATTTTAATTAAATTAGGCTCTGAGACGGTCGGAGGGTGTTGTCGAAAGGGCTGCGTGTACAGATACACACCCTTCTTTTTCCCTTGATGGTTTCACGGGGTTTTACCTGCGCTGTTACAACCACCGGCGCCCCGGGGTGGTTTTGATCCACTTCTCCGGGCAGCACAGGCAGCACTGGGGACTGGCAGCGGCCGCGGGCTCCCAGCCTCAGGCTAGCGATTTCGGGGGGCACCGCATCACTTTTTTCGGGCATCTTGGCCTTGCCTGGCGGTCACCCATTGGGTGCCCATTGCCATGGAAACGGGGTTGGCATGGCAGCGCCGAACCGGCGCTGGCGCGGGTTGGCTCCAGCTGTCGGTTTCCCAACCGCCCCCGGATTGTAGGAGTCGAACAGGCTGGAGGGCGAGAGGGGGAACGGTGCGGGCAACCGGGGTCTGCGGGGCCCTGCTCTCACCCCGCGGGAAGTAAAGGGGTTGAAACGAGGCGGCGCGTCCCCGAGCATCGTCTCGTGTGTCCCCAGGTCCTCACCTACAGCCAGCCCAGCGGTGGCACCTGGCCCTGCTCTCAGGGCATGATTGTCCCAGAGACCATCCTGCACAAGCCCCAGGCAGAGAGGAGGGACGTTTCTCTCCCGGGTGAGGATCCGTGTGCTGCCTGGAGTAGCTTGGCTGGTTAAGTGCCCTCGCAGGACGTGTCCCTGCGTGGCAGGGTCTGCCCGGGCACGGCACAGGTCTGCGAGGCTCCTGCCCTCTGCCCCAGCTCCCTCGGGCTGGAACAAGTGTGTACGTGGCTGCGCGGTGAACCAGCGGACAAACCTGACCGGGGTTTAAAACCTTCTGGGTTTTTTCCTCATAAGAGAGTGTTTCCTTCTAATCAGCGTGGACCTGAGCTGCAAGGCAGAGCTCACCATGCTCCTTGCCAGCAAGACACCAGAGGGAAAGCATGTCGGCTGGGAGTCGCCATCCTAAGCATCCTCAGTTCCGTGAGAGCGAGCAAAGAACCAGACAAGAACCAGCAAATGGCTATTTACTTCCAGGCTGTTCCCCCCCGGCCTTCTCCGGGAAAAGCTTGAAGGCTAAAGGGGGAGGCAGCGAGCCCGTGCCTGGGCCAAGGCTTGTTAGAGCAGATGCAGAGCATCAAAGATGGGAGAAAACCCATCAGCGCAAAGGCAAGCATGGGTAAGATGCCAGCTGCAAATACCTCACAGCTACAGCACAGAAAAATACAATCCCGGGGCAGCCACTCACTGCCACAAAGCCACTGGGTCCGTCCTTGCGTATCTTCCTCGGGAGGAAAGTGCTGGGGCTGAGCAGACCCTGGCCAGGCGTGTCCTGGATGTTTTAGCCCTCCCAAGAGCTCGCCAAGCATGATTTCTTTGTCCTGGGAGGGCACAAGTGGCTTCACGGCAGCCCTGGGAGACGACAGTGTTAATTGGATTACTTCCACAGGGAAACCGAGGCAGGTCTTGCTCTGCAATGACTCTGTCGAACTTGTCTTTGCATGGCATCGCTACTGAACAAGCAAAAGCAGTCTTCCTCCCAGCCCCGACCGTCCCCCGCGGGACGGCTCTGTCCTCGCTCCGTAACTAGAGCGGCATGCCAGGTGACGGAGGGACGTTTCACAGCCACCCCTGCCTCCATGTGCAGGCTGCCTCATCCTCACAGCCCTCCCGGGCTGGCTGGGCAATGTATGCCCCAGCCAAACCATCCCCGTGCTCAGCCAGCTCCAGCAGGGAGAAGTTTCCCCTCGTGCCTAAACCTCCCTCCAGCCGTGGCTGCTTGTCCCAGGGGTGTGGGGACTGGTGCTGTCACTTCTCCGCTCCTCTCCTCCCTAACAGCCAGCCATAACCCCTCCAGCCCTTCCTGCAAGTCACCACTGCTGATCTCTGCTCCAGCTCTGCTCCCAACATTCACAATCCTCGGATGTGAAACTAATGGGGTGACTTTGTGCCCCAAAACCGGATCACAGGAGGAACTCATGAAGGCCCTGGTAAATTTCCCTGCAAGTTTAACTGCCTGCTCTTGAGCAAATGAGGATTCGGGGTGATGAACACAAGCCTCAGCCTCATTAGATACCTCTGACAAACGGCTGACAGCGCTACCATCTCCTGGAG